AATAACTAGTATTTATAGGTTGGCGTCAATTTGATTTAAGGACCATAAGGTCTACCCACCTGTGGTTCCACCTCCAGGCTTTGTAGCCGAGATAATTCCTGGGAAACGGAGACTTCGAAAATCGACTCCGAATCGGTGATGGTAATATTCACCTAGGCGTTCGGCATAGACCTGAATTTTTGAGACATTTTTGTATTTTTCAGAATTTTGATTTCTCTACCATACCTTAGAAACTCCATAGATGGTAGTGGGGCACTGTATGGTAACATCAGGGACGTTATCTGGAGGGGTCGTTGGGCCGAAAGCGCCAATTGTCGACGGGATGAAAATTTTTAGGTTGTGTTTCCTAAAGAAATTAAATAGCTTCCGTGGAAAGCTAGATGCCAACTTGAACTCCTTAACCCTAGGGAACTTTTTGAAACTAAAATTTCAGGTAGTTCTAATCCACAAAACCATATTTTCCCTAACTTTGGCCCTTAGCTCTTTATTTTTCTCCTCCTTACGTTTCCTACTTCATCGTATAAGCAAACTGAAACAGTACATAAACCACGATTGTTGCCCTAAACGATTGCCGCTAATTGCATTACCGGTTCTTAGCCACGTGGGAGACCGAGAAATGACAGAAATGACTGATGAAATCAACGATTACTGACGACATCGGACATCATTGCGACCACAGTTTCACTCATGGGTTAATTTGTCAGCAATGACTTTTGGCAGAAAGCCTTGAAGCTAATTAAAGGGTGCCCAGTCAAAAGATAATTCTCATGTAGATTTTAAGTAGATTTTATGGATACACCTTCAAAATTCTCAAAAACCCAGTGTCATTTCACAGTTAATGTATTGAACTCCTTCTGCACCCCACAAAGTCTTACGGTAACATTACAGCAGTATCAGCTATTACTGTAGCACTCACTTTGCAACTTCTAGAACATTCTCCACACCACGGCAGTTGACTTGAAGAGCAAGTGGGACATTCTGTTCACCAACAGCACTGAGCAATGCTGAGAAATGTACAATCGTATCGATTCCTT